GGGGGGGGGGGGGGGGCACCTGCGTCCCTGTTTCCCGGGGTCCCAGATGAGCTGCTTTCTGGTGGTTCTGGGTGGCCCTCGACTTACAACAGCTCAGTTAGTGACCATTCAGAGTTAAAACAGCGCTGGAGAAAAGAGTTATGACCGCACTTACGGCCCTTGAATTATCCCCGTGGTCACCTGGTCAGTATTCAGGGGCTTGGCAACTGGCATGAACTTATGTCGGTTGCTGTGTCCCGGGGTGGGTCCCGCGATCCCCTTTTGCGACCTTCTGGCAAGCAAAGTGAACAGGAAGGCCAGGTTCCCTTCCCAGCCCGGTTACTAACTTAGCAATTGCAGTGATTCGCTTAACGCCTGGGGCAAGGAAGGTCCCCAAATGGGGCAAAGCTCCCTTAACAACTCTCCTGCTCAGCAGCCAAACTTCTGGGCTTGCAGGGGGGGGGAGAGGAAAGCCCCTGGCCCAGGGCTGGAGAGGAGTCAGGCCAGCTGACCAGCCTGGAGCCCCATCAGCCTAAGGTCAGTTTCAGCTGAGCCTGTTTGATCTCTCCTCCAGCCAGCCAGCTTCGGAGTTGGGTCTGACCAGATCCGGCTTGCGTGGTTGGCCAGGGAACCTGCCCAGCTGGGCTGTTGCTGTGGAGGAGAGGGAGGATCCGAGTGTGTGCCCCCCCCCACAGGCACCCCCCCCCCCAGAAGGCCTTCAGGCACCTGTGGCTGGATGTGTCCATGAGAGCCAGCAGCTCTTCCGCCCCTCCCCCTTTCAGTGGGATTTCTGCCACCTGCAAGGTGGGGGGGGGGAAGCCCCTCGGGAAAGGGCCATCAGAATGTGGGGGGGGGGTCTGCACTGCAGCCCTCCTCAGCTAAAGACGGAGGCAGGCTCCGCACCCGTTGGCAGTCCTCCTGACAGGCTTCGGGGGAGGGAGCCAGGGTTCAAGTGGGGGCCGTGCTTGGAAGGCCCACCCAGTGAACCTCGGAAGCACAGTATGGACCCCTGGCAGGCAGTCCTTGTCTTACGACAGATTGCACAGGGACTGTTCAATGTTGTAACTTGTCTGGAAAAAGGGGGTTGAGATGTTCCAAGTTCTGACGGTCAGTTGTCTCCCCCACCCACCCCCCCACCCCCACAGCACAGTCGGCTGCATCTGCAGTCACAGTGACTGCTTTTGGCCATTGTGGGCTGAAAACCCTTCGGCCAAACCGCCCGGTGGGTTAAAAGCTCCATGAATTGGTGGCTGTTGCCCTTGTGCTGCGACCCCCGAAGGTGAGGCCGCTTCTGGAGAAGAGCCGCAGGAGGGGCAGAGATCTGCAAGACATGGGAGCGGGGGAGGGGTCTCCAAGCTTGGCAACTTTAAAAGCGGTGGGCCTCAACTCCCAGAATGGAGCTGGAAGGGACCTTGGAGGTCTTCTAGTCCAACCCCCGGCTCAAGCAGGAGGCTTTACACCGTTTCAGACAATCTCTGCTTAAAAGCCTCCAGTGTTGGAGCACTCACAAGGTCTGGTGGCCAGCTGTTCCACGGGTTAACTGTTCTGTTAGAAAGTTCCTCCTTAGCTGCAAGTTGCTTTTCATCCGTTGTTTCTTGTCCTGCCTTCGGGTGCCTTGGAGAAGAGCTTGACCCCCTCCTCTTCTTTGGGGCAGCCCCTGAGAACCTGGAAGGCTGCTCTCCTGTCCCCGCTGGCCCTCCTTCAGACTAGCCAGGCCCAAATCCTGCAGCCGTTCTTCACATGTTTTAGTCTCCAGGCCTTTAGTCGTCTTGGCTGTTCTTCTCTCTTTCCAAAGTCTCAACCTCTTTCTTGTAACGTGGGACCAAAACCGGACGATGCAGCCTATCCCCAGTGTGGCCTAACTAAGGCTTTATGAAGCGGCACTAATACTTCATGTGATTCGGATGCTATGCCTCTGTTTGTGCGACCCAGGATGGTATTAGCAATTCCTGTGAACTTCAACTCCCAGAGTCCCCCAGGCAGCGTGGCTGAGGCACCCCCGGCAGTCCCTTCTGGGACCCGGCCCCACTCCTGCCTCTGCTGCCTTCCTGATGCTCGGCTAGGAAGACGCCGGGCTGTTTGCTCAGGAGCCTGCAAACAATGCCTGGCCTGCGTCATCCTTGGCTCAGTTGCGCGGAGGCAAACAAACAGGGATTTGCAGCAGATGGGACCCGTCGGACTGGCTGCGTGGCGTCTCTCAAGGCAGACGGGCAGGTGGACTTCCTGGGCAGGACTGGACGCCCGTCCAGGGAGCGGAGCATGGCAGAACGGCCTCTCCTCCCCCCCCCTTGAATGCCTGGGCACCAAAGGAGGCCTTTGCCTCTCCCCTCCCCCCCAAAAAGGGTGAAGAGTCCTCCCCCCCCCCTTTCAGAAAGCTCCGATTTCTGCTTCTGGAAATAATTCCCTCCTCCCAAACCTCTGGGGAGTTCAAATCCTAGAAATATCCTGATAGTTGGACACCTCCTCCTGCAGGGAGGGAGGCCTTGTGACTGCACTTCGGACCAGAACATCTGTTGCTTAGTGAGCCGGTTGTTAAATGAGCCACCCCTGGTTCTACACCAGCAATTTTAAACAGTTTTTAAAAATTGTATTTAAAATAGTGATAAAAGAAAAACGAAAGAAACAAGGAAAACAAATACGGATAGTTCTCGACTTACGACCACAAGGGAACAGAAACCTTCTGTTGACAAGCGAGACATTGGTGAAGTGAGTGTTGCCCCATTTTACGACCTTTCCAGCCACGGTTGTTAAGTGAATCCGGCTTCCCCATTGACTTTGCTTGCCGGGAGGTCTCCAGGGGGGATCCCGTGATTCCCTAGGACACCACAACCGTCATAACCGCGAGCCAATTGCCGAGTGTCCAAACGGTGATCAGGTGACCATGGAGGAAGCTGCACTAGCCATAAGCATGAAAAACGGTCATGATAAGCCACATTTTTCAACTTGGAACGGTCACAAAATGAACTGTTGTAAGTTGAGGAGTCCCTGTACATGATTTTAAAAATGCATATCAAGTTCTTTAAAAAGAGTGGAAAAAAAAACACGACAGGAAAGCAGGAAATCTAACGTAGGATATGTCGTCGTAACTTTGAATGGTCACTAAACAGACTGTTGTAACTGGAGGACTCCCTGTCCTAGCCGCCTTCCCTTGTTTGGGGATTGTGTCCCGTCTCTCCTGCTCTGCCTGCCTGAGCCACTTCCCTTGCTTTGGGTTCCTACGAAGCAGAGCCTGCCCTGAAAGTAGCTGAGTCGGCTAGAAGACCTCTAAGGCCCCCTCCCAGCGGTGTTCTGATGGCAGCGACAGATTGAATGATAGCACCACGACAGCAGCGTCTTTAACCTGGGGGGTTGTAACTCATCCCTGATGCTGCTTTCTGTGATGATGATTCAACAAGTTTAAGTTCCTTGGTCTTCCTTCGCTTGCTCAGGCGGAGCAGGAAGAACCTTCGCCGGGTTGTAGGACGCCCCAAAGCGAAACATCATAGAGTTTCTCAGCCTGGGCGGCTTGGAGAGGGGTGGACTCCAACTCCCAGAATTCAGCTGTGCTGGCTGGGGAATGCTGGGAGTTGGAGTCCACCCCTCTTCAGGCTGCCCAGGTTGAGAAACGCTGCCTTACCCCACGTCCTCACTTGTGATGCCGTCCCTGCCAAGGCAAACGGGCAAAAGGTTTTCGGGGGGGGGAGGGGTGTCTTTGGGAGATGCCGGCACAGACAAACTCTGCAGACGGCGCTCCTGCCTGATCAAGAATCCGAAAAGAGCAAAGACTCCAGGCAGAAACCTTAAAAGTTGTGGGTGCTCCGTCACGGGTGGTTTTCAAAAATGCCGGACTGGGGTGGTATAACGTCTCCTGCCCTGGTTGGGGGGGGGGGGTTGGACTAGAAGACCTCCCGGGTCTCTTCTGGCCCCAGGATTCCATGTTCCGTGTTCTGTGTGTTTCTTGTTGGCTTCCGGTGTTTAATATGGGACCGTAGACAACTTTGATGTAGCTCCAGAATCCTCCCTCATTTTCCATGAACATATTCTTGGAATCGAAAACCCCCCACAGAAATTCTCTCAGCAAAGATTTTATTTTCTGAAAATACTTCCTGGATGTTGGAGAGTGAACCGCTCGGTCATTAAATGGATGCAGCTTCTTCCCTCTTTGGCTTGGCTGGTGGGAGAGTTGCAGGGGCCCATTGTGTGACCCTGGGATGATGCCGCAGCCCTTATTCACAACCGTCCCAAAGGTGCTTTTCCAAGGGGCCAGTGGACTTGCTTTGTTTTTCCCTGAAGACCTTTCGCTTCTCGTCCAAGAAGTTTTTCCACTTCTGAAGAGGCTTCGTCTGTCAGAACTGAAGAAGCTTCTCAGGGGAGAAGGGAAACGCCTTCGACAAAAGAGCCCAGTTGCCTCTTGAAAGAAAAGGAAAAGGAAGGAAAGTAGCCCCTCTTTTATACCTGGGACATTTTAATCATTGGGTTATTATGAAATATTTCTTGGTGCCCTTCAGCCCGGTTGCGCCTGCTCTGGGACTACGCCGTGAGCATAATTGCGCTTCCCGTTGTGTCGTCGGCTTCCCTGGGACGGACCCTACGGAGGGCAGCAGGCCACCCGTGAGCCAGTCGTGGCCGCTCCTCACCAGAATCCCACGGGGTGGGGGGAGGTTCATGCAGGGGTCCAGCTCCTTTGTTGGGGGCTTCGTGGGGGGAGACAGGCCCCCCGTGGTGCCTCCGGTTCCCTTCTCCGTGGGGCCAGAGGGCAGAGAAGGCCACCAGACTGGGTGTGGCAGTGCCGGTCTCAGTTGTGTGGACGGAGGTAAGTCGAGGACGGCTGCCTGAATAGGGATGCGCCCGACCATTTGCAGAGTGGGGAACGGGAGGCCCCTGGGATGGAAGCCGGGGGGGGGGGGGGGGGGGGGGGGGGGGGCGCCCCAGCGGGCGCCCCCCCCCCCCCGGGGCCCTCCGGCAGGGCGGCCCCCCCGGCC